CTCACTGAACAGCTCACATAATTGGCTGTGAAAACAATAGAAACGGTGACATAACTAGACTAACAACGCCCCTATCCCTGAAACAAAAGGCAATATTACCTAATATTGTTTTAGTCGACCACTGAAATTAGAGGTTCATGTGAGGTACTGGACTACTGAATAATTTTCTACCTACCAGTAAGCACTGACAAGCCAAGGATAGTCGCTTTCTTGGTATTTGTTTGTAAGACTGCTTCATCTATCGCTCAAATTTCGTCTTCCGAAAATGCGTCGAGGCGAGACGCCATCTTGGCTCCGGTCGTAAAACAATGAATAACCAAGGATATTCCGAGTTACGGGCGAAAAGTGCTATTCACTGATTTGGTAAACACTAAAAACTAAAAGTAAACCCACTGAGTCCACATATGGTTCACTGGTATATTAGTGGATTTCGAGAATTGGTATTCAAAAACAACAGCAGAATCTTGCACAGGTCTTCTCTCAGGAATAAACTGTTTAGCAGTGACGGAATTTCGCACCTCGTCATCGTTTTATTGCACGGGGTTCTTTTAACGTGTTTTTGCTTTGGCTGTAAGCTGCGAGAAGAATGGAGACCAGTCAATTTGGGATTTTCCGTGGTGGTTTCCTTGCTAGCTACCGTATCGGCCATATGGTGCACAGCTCTTTAGTAATATAGAAGCATTTTCACTGGATCGTCGATAGCACGCAGCTCTACTACTGTCTGATTTCGTCAGCAACTTACTGGTATGTGTTTTACAGGCCTCAAAAGGTTGCTATAAAAGCTAAGTGGTATGTAATGCATCAGTCAATTCCAGATGGGCCCGGTCCCCCCACGGGCTACTGCGGGGCATTTGCCCGCCTTCTCAGTCCCGGGGGTGGGGGAGGGGTGGGGCATTTGCAAATTTTGCGCTGCCCTGGGTTCGGGCATTTGCCAACCGCGGGGCTATTCCCGAGCTTTTGACATGACCTTGGTTTCCTATCAGAATATAACTACACAGAGGATATCACTGGAAGAAAGGCAGATTAGCTCATCTGTCAAGGACAGGGGTTTGTAAAGGCATGTTCTCGATTTTATGCATATATTTCTTCATTGCTTATTAAGCCAGAATTACATAGCGAAACTTGGGAGCTATCAACGTGAATAGACGTTTTTTGGTTAGTGAATCAAATTTCTGTTGATATTATTTATAACCTATTCATAACATATAGCTTTAGAGCACTCTATTAATTTTAATGTCAATAGTTTTATATCGATACTATTAAAACCATAAACTGGTGCATGTCGTCGCGGCGTGAAGACTTTTGAAAATTAGAATCCTAGCGCTATTACAAAGGAAGACGTTACTTGAAACAAAAAACCGCACATTAAAATGTCTAAAACGGCACTATTTGACTCTGCAATCAATAACAAATGTTGCTGACGGAGGACGGGGCGTTTGCCCTCTTTTTTCGTCCCCACTCCGGGGGATTTGACAGCTCAAGAGTCCCAACCCCTTATGGCTTATGCCCGGGGGTCAGCCCGGGAGGGTGCTGCTGAAGGGGGGGCTGAGTGCAGCTGGAATTCGCTTATGCACATTAAAAAAGCCGAGAGCTTTTTCGATACTGTCGCATGTTGCTTTTCACCTTCTAAACAGAAAACAGAAAATGGGGAAATTGACCTTTGGAAACATCTGTATTGTTATTGCCTATCATTTCTACGGCTGAAAATGAAAAGGTAACACCTGACTCCTTCACATCTGTAAATCCGTTTGATCCTCTTCCAGACTGCGGACCAGATACTAAGGCTTCAACTAGATACGGGGTGTTTTTCTTTAAGTAAGTAGGAGAGTCAAACAAAACTTCAAATCCATAATAGTTACAGTTGGTTTTGGATTGCAAAAGCTTTGAAGAATATGTTCCTGTTTGGGCCCCTACGTTTCTCAGGCTAGTAGTATCTTTGATCTCCAAAGTTACTGTGTAGCTGTAGCCATAACTGCCAAACAAGCACAGTCCATGTAGAAAGATGTTTTTGTTCACGGTAAAACCAAGAAAGTCTTTACGCGAGCCTCCGTAATTCCAAGTTCCCGACTGTGATTGAAATCTTTCACATCGATGAATAACACAAGGCCGTCTTCGAGTCGTTAAGAAACCCACCGGAGGGGTCTGTATTAGAAAATACTTAAACAGGCCAGTTGTTTCATCCGAAGTAAGAATGTTTGTATCAACAACGTCAGAAGCAAACTCCTCTCCCCTCATCACTGGAAATCGTATTGCTTTGACAATTTGTTCGCCAAGAATTCTTCTTTTGATTTGACCATCTGCTGTTAAACTTTGCTTTTCGCATTGTTTCGTTGCCCATCGATCAACAGCTTCAAACAAGGAGACTTCTTTGATCGACAGAATATCTCTTGCGACTACTTGTTCAAGTAAGGATCTCTCAATTGTCTCAAATCCTTCCGATTTCAAAGCCACTCCTGTCTGATTCTCAATCACTTTCCAGCATCGATCGACCAAGGCTTTCTCTTCATATTTCTGTGCAGATGGCAGGATGCCAAAAACATTCGAAGGATCCATATTTTCTTGCAGGTATTCCGTACATTTATCGGCGAGTGAAGGCACAATGTATTTCTTGGCCAAGTATAACACTCCCATCACATTACTTCCGCTTAAATTCACTTCATCGCTGTACATGTATCGAAACAACTCCAACAGACTCTCGCAATCACAGTCAGGCAGTTCAACAGTGTCTTTAGTCTCCGCCAGTTCACCGTAAAACATGGCTTCAAACACAGGACTGCCAATCGACAGTATGAATTTGTGAGCTGGAATCACTTGCTTACTTCCGCTTTTGCCATTGCTGTTAGCAGCAACAAACTTGACATCGCTCAAGCGATCGTTGTTGAGCATAAACTTGGCTCTTTCTCTGATGGTGGGTCTTGTCGTTTGCCAGTTTGTTTCGAGAGACATTTTCGCTCAGTTAAACCGTGGTAAGAAGTCAAAATATCTCGCATTTGTTTTTAGTAACTTTAACACTTAAGCACCCGCTTTGCCCACGCGCAAAATAAATGCATATTAAATACGTCACGCGATCTGTCGCACAATATCACGCGATGTCTCAGAGGTCACGAAACCTTTGATACATGCATACTTTATTTGAGTAGGTTAGAAGGGGCAGCCAGAGCTGATGTGGACCTACTAAAGTACAATTAATAAAAAGAAAAAAAAATTTAAAAAAGCAAATAATAAAAAATAATAATAATAACAATAACGATAATAAATAAATAAATAAATAAATAAATAAATAAATAAATAAATAAATAAAGATAGCATGTAGACAAAAAATTAAAGCTATTTACAAAATTCAAGTAAGACAAAGCTAAAAATATATTTATGGTATATAAATTTATAAGGCAGCCTTACGAAGCCATCGTTGTCGCTTAATTGTCTTTGTTTGGATTGGCGAACTAAAAATTGTTTGGAGACGTCAATAAAAAATAATACTCGCTTGAATTTCTCTGTAATTTCCACTCTGGAGCTTAATTTCAACAATTCAACAATTTGAAGTTAATCTTACAGCAATTAATCGATGCATTTTTTAACAAAATTGGCGCTGAGAACGGAGGCGATTGCATCGTCTATGTCGTACTTTAAACCATAAAGAAAAACATAAAAGGTCTAAACATGAGTAGTGTTTGCAGCGAAAAAAAAAAAGAAAAAAAAAAGCAGGCACATTATAGTTTATAAGTTGCTTTTTACTACAAAAAGGTGAAAACAAAAACATCTATAATTTTTGTTTTATTTACATCAGTATACTCCCGTTAACAGGCTTTTCCTGAAAACTATCATAACCGCAGTGGCATGTATTGGTTGGTATTGATGTCCTGTTGCATCAATGTGAGGCTAATCCTGCACATTACATTTTCCCAGTCTCCCTGGGATCCTGCTATAAACAGGCAACATATTTTTTCTAAGGAACAAGGGGTATATTATAGACAAATTTAACAGCAATAAACTGCTCTACACGGTGATTCTTATTAATCAGCTGAAAACTTGACCTTTTTTGGGCCATTATAAATAACATTTATAATAGATTATAAATAACATTTTTTTACAACTCTTTTAATTACTTGTTATCTGCTATTACAATGCATATCTTAGCAACTAGCTCCATTGAGATTTTCTAGGAAGATTCCCTTGGTACAAGTAAGTCTAGTGAAAATAGCAGATGGATCTCAAATCTAAATATAATACCAAACACGGGATTTAAAGATGAACTATTTTAATGAAGTAAATCACTTTGATTTTGATTATACTGATCAGATTATATAATACCCGCAAAAATTAAGATGGAGACTATTCTCCATCACCTTATTCCAACTACCTGATACCCTCATTATCACCAGCTGATCTAGCTTGTTTCTGAATTTGATTTACCAAGATATACTGTGTTTCTATTCTATACATTTGACGATTTTGATATCAGTCATATTAACTTGTATGATCATCTAACTCCTCGACTACAGGAGCTTCTCTTCGAGAGCAAGAAATACAAGAACGCCAATAACTTCAAATTCTGTTGGGCGAAAAACGGAGCTGTCTGTCTGCGCAAAACGGAAACATCAACAGTCATAAAGCTAACAAGCCTCGACGAATTAAATGAACTGAGGGAGTCACGATAAGCTAAGTGCTTTGAGATATTAGAGTTGCATTAAGCGGGGTAATTCTGAAAACCTTCTTCGCTCTATCGCTTAAATTAGCTTAAAATGAAGTTACGCCGTAGAAATAAGGTCCAAGAAAAAGCTCAAAGATCAACACTCAAAGAGCTGCCTTACTTTACATTTAGAGGCAATCTAGCCCTCTTTCATGGCCAATTTAATAATTCGGTGTCCACTACTTCCCAGTGTAGGAGACATCTAGATAAATTATCCAGCTTATTTGATCTAGATCTATTTACTAATCTTGACGGTCAATTAAATAATAACAATAACGATCACAGACAATGTCGATATTTATCCCCGCATAGTTTCAAATTATTTAATAGAAAGCTATCCAACAGTGAGGTTCAATCCAGTTTTTCAGTTTTTCACAATAATGTTGTAAGCATTAACCAAAATTTGGAAAATTTAACATTACTACTGGATGAACTCGACTTTCAATTTAACTTAATTGGTGTCACAGAGACCAAAATTACAAATTCAAATGAGAACGGGTCTTTTTCTTGCATACCGGGATATGTTTTCGACTTTGTCCCAACACCTCTATCATCTGGAGGTGTTGGCCTTTTCATTCACGAATCACTAAATTACACAGTTTTAGAAAAGATCTCTAATGAAGCTTTTCAAGCCCTTTGGATTGAAATATCTTTTGCAAATAACAAAAACATTGTCTGTGGTATAATATATCGCCAACACAATTCTCCGGATCAGTTCATGTCTTACTTCGAAGAAACCATCGAAAAATTGACATCTCTTAATAAAAATGTATTTATCATGGGCGATTTCAACATAGATCTATTGAAATGCGAAACATCTCAAATTAGCCATGACTTCTTTATGTCCTTACAAAGTTGCTATCTCATTCCAACAGTTGATAAGCCCACTCGAGTCCACAGGAACTCAGCTACGTTAATTGATAATATCTTTTTAAACAACCCTGACCAAATACTTCTCAGCGGTAACATCATCTCCGATATTAGCGATCACTTCTCTCAATTTTGCATAATCAAAGCAGCAAGAGATAAATATAGAGGGTACACTACCAAGATACGCGATTTTTCTAATTTTTCCGCAGACCAATTCAATAGGGAACTCTCTGAGGTTGACTGGGAATGTATTCTCGTAAATCATGCAACTGATCCAGACATATTATTTTCAACCTTTTATAAGAAATTTAATAAGATTGTAAACAAACATGCTCCCATTACAAAGTTATCAAAGCGTAAAGCCAAACAGCTTTCTAAGCCTTGGATTACTACTGGATTAAAAGCATCCATTATGGTCAAAAACAAATTGTATGTGTCCGGTGACGAAGACAAATACAAATATTATAGAAACAAAATTTGTAGCCTGATACGTCTAAGTAAAAAGATATACTATCAGGATTATTTCGAACGCCACAAAACAAACATGAAAAAGACATGGGAAGGAATAAATGACGTCTTGCATCGCAGAAAGAAGACCAAAATTATAACTGCTATTAAGGACCCGAATAAGAGCAACAAAATCGTAAAAGAACCTTCACAGGTCGCTAATATTCTTAATGACCATTTTTCGTCTGTAGGAAATAGGCTAGCTAGCACAATTCCAACGCCACAACAACATTATCTTAATTATGTTAGTCATTACAAAGCACCATCTTCTTCTTTTCTATTCTTACCGGTAACGTCCGACGAAGTGAAATTTCAGATACTCTCCATACCAAACAACAAGTCTTATGGTCTATATTCATCTCCCATAAAATTATTAAAGTGTGCAAGTAGTATCATAGCTCCTATTCTATCAGAAATATTAAATATCTCAGTGACGCTAGGAAAATACCCCTCAAAACTTAAATTGTCCAAAATAACTCCAATATTCAAGAGTGGTGAAGATAATGATGCGAATAACTACAGGCCTATATCCTTATTATCTAACTTTAACAGAATTTTTGAAAAGATCATGTACAACAGAATGAAAGATTACATTGACAAACATAACTTATTGTATTCCTCCCAGTACGGTTTTCGTAAAGGTCACTCGACTCAACATGCAATATTAGACATTGTAAACGCAATACAAATTAATATGAATCAAGGCCTTTTCTCGTGTGGAGTCTTCATAGACCTCAAGAAAGCTTTTGATACTGTCGATCATAACATTTTGCTTGACAAACGTAATCACTATGGTTTTCGTGGAATTATTAATGATTGGTTCTCCTCGTATTTGAATAATCGGATGCAATCTACCCAAATCGGACCATACATTTCAAACAAAGCCAACGTAAGTTATGGCATTCCCCAAGGATCTGTGCTCGGCCCGTTGCTTTTTTTATTGTATGTTAATGACATACATCAATGCTCGAATAAACTTAAGTTTTATCTCTTCGCAGATGATACTAATATCCTTTATGCCGATAAAAACTTAAAGTCCCTAGAAAATATAGTAAATATCGAATTACAAAACCTCCACGAATGGTTAACATCCAATAAGTTAACTCTCAATACTACAAAAACTAACTTTGTAATCTTTCATCCTTATCAAAAAAAAGTCACTTATCAACCGAGCCTCTACATGTTCGATAACGAAAAAAATGGAAATGTAACTCTAGAGTCCAAAAATTATATTAAATATCTTGGTGTGTTGATTGATAAAAATCTTACTTGGAAATATCACATTGACGCCGTTACGGCAAAAATCAGTAAAACCGTTGGACTAATTTCAAAACTTCGGCACTCCATACCCCGTCATATACTGTTATATATTTACCAAACATTAATCCACCCTCACCTAAACTATGGTCTTGCTGCCTGGGACCAGGCATCCAAGACGTCCCTCAATAAAATTTTAATTCTCCAGAAGAAAGTGCTTCGCATGATGTATTTTACGGATATACGTGAACACGCAACTCCTCTATTTATCGACGCTGACATATTACCAGTGTCATTTATGTATTATAAAACTGTGGCTAATCTAATGCACGATATTAACAACAACAATTCGCCAACAAATCTGCTCAATTTATTTGAAAAAACCTCAACAATTCATTCTTACTATACAAGTCATCTAGTTCAGGTAACTTTCACGTCAAAAGCTCAAAGCTGGAAATACACAAAAACTCCTTGTCTCGCTTTGGTGTAAAACTTTGGAATGAGATGCCTTGTCATATTAGAGATCTTCCTAAAAAGAAATTTAGGAAAGTACTTCACAGATTGCTTTCGGATATCTTAAAAAGAGAAGATGACTATATTGAGACGCCCTTAATAGTTGAAA